ACCATAACAAAAAAAGCACAGCTAAGCATGTCTTTTCTGACAACTTCCACCTTTTTACCTTTAAGTTGAGTTCTCAGGAAATCTGTGCACATACAAACCCAGGATGACAACTGTTTCAAGGTCCAGGTGTCCTCCTGGCCTTATTTTAACACTTTTTGTAACACAGTGTAAGGAAGCAAAAGGCAATCAGAACAATGTACCATTAACTACCTAATACTGCAACGGCAGCTATTGTTTCCATGCACGAATTCTGCAGCGCCTGTTTTCAGTGGCCATCAAACGCTTCTGCGTGTGAGACGTGTGTCAGCCTGTTACCATGATGGCTTCATGTGTGGGTCCAGGATGGGATGGATTCACACCAGCTGCTGCAGAGCTGTCTTGCCCTTTGATTCTTCTCTCTCTGACAGACCTTCCACTCTTTGGCTCGTTAACCAGTTATTGGGTGCTGGGGAGCGCACCTTAGTTTTCTTCTTACAACATTACCAACTGTACACAAATCTGAACATTTATGGTGTCGGTATTTTTAAGTCATTCATTTAACGAGTTTTAACTAAGCGCCGGAATGAAAGTCAAGGCTTATGAAGAAGGTTTGAAGGCACGTTAAAATGAAGCGAGTGCTGCCATTTTGTCAGTCACTTTAAAGTCCGGGGCACTCTCTGGGTAGGTCTTGTCAGACTGGTTATGGTTCTTAAACTCGTTTCAAACGTGTCCAGGTCGGTGCAGTATCTCACTCACAGCCTACTGAGGGAGGCTGAAAATAATGCAAGAGCGAGCGCTTATTTATACTCGGTGATCAGTTAGCAATGAATAAACGTCTAGCGATGCAGCCGCAAAGCACGAGATTTGTGAAGAGCTAGGATGTCACAAGCGAAGGTGAAAAGCGAGCCTTGGAGGAGGTTAGCAGATGCTATAATTAGTGGCGCCTGATGATCACAGGCGTGCACTGGCCCTGATGTTGCAGCAGGCGAGCCGAGCCTGCCGCATGTGTCCAGAACTCGGGCTGTGAGCCAGAAAAGAAGGAAGCGGATCAGCTGTAGGATGTTTCCCCCCCCCGTACAACCTGCTGTAAAGGCTCTCGACATGATCTGCTGCTGCAGTATATATTGTAACGCAACGGGGGCTCACGCGGGCGCCCTTGCCGCATTAGGTCGCCACCCCACCGTCGTGGGCTCGAACCCAGGACTCCCGCGTCTCTCTGCAGGGACCCAGCCCGGTGAGCCAAAGAGATTTCTCCACAGCCCAGTAGCGGTGGTCCTGCTATCACAGGGAAGGGCGGTGACGTCACCTGCTCTGGTACGCCGGCTTTTACACAGTGCCTGTCGGCCGTAAGCGTTACAATATCTAACTCGCGGGGTCCTTGTGTGAGCGCAAGCGAGAGGTGGGCTGCTGTGGAGCTGAGCAGAGAGGAGCCCTCCTCTGTGAGTCGCCGCTACTCCAGGACGCCGTCAGCGGTTCCTGTGGCAAGAATGTCAGCGTGGCAGGGCCGCTGTCGGACACTTCCCGTCACGTCGGGTGTGCGCATCACAACAATACAGACACAAGTGTCGCGCCCGAAGAAGGCTCCACAGCCGAAACATTGTGTTTCCTTTCTTCTCTTTTCAGCCTGGAATAAGCCGTTACGCGTTGCTTTGCAGCCTACGCATGCTGACGCAGCTCCCTACTGGAACTTCTTCGGCCCACTTCTCTGCCTTCCGCGAAATCGTTTTCTAGATCTCTTCGTCGTCCCTGCCCCTTCCTCCCGCCACCCGAACGAGCGAGATTCTGCTCTGCACGTTCTGTCACACGCCGTGGGGAGGCAGCTGGCTCCCCTGGCAGGGAAGGAAGCAGGTTTCATAACTCCCATTAGGGACGCGCCACGCATAATTTATCATCCCGCGCAACTAATGAGTGCCACCATACATCCCACCTGTCAGAACCCATCCCAGGGCCCTGACAAGACCCCCGTTACACGTTTCTGCTAATTCATCTTCCTTTGGCGGGGGATACTGCTTGACGGCAGCTCACGTGCGGCGGGGTCCCCGTCCTCGTGCCTCCGGGGGGGGGACGCGCGGTCTCCGGAGACAGCGAGGCTGCTGCCGAGGAGCTCGACGACGAGGGTATAAATAGCAGTCAGCTCTGCTCTTCAGGGGGTTCGCCCCCGTGATCAAAAAAGAAAACGAGGGGGGGGACTTCCGAAGCGAGCGTAATGAGCCTTCGTCGTCAGGTTGGCATGTTGGCAAACGGTAGTCGTCCGTCTTCACAACCTCGAAGTCAGAGCTTTCACAGAGGCGGCAATGTCTGTGGCAAGGCCTGGGCCGGACTGAGCCATACTCTTTCGCACAGAGAGGACAGTTCAGCGCTGTGCTTGAGAA